AGGGGAACATTTCGTGGTGGAAGTCGATGTAGGAGGCCGCAAATGTGGTGCCTTCATAGACATAGGCTCCACGCGAAATTACATAAGTCGCGACTATTTGGAAAGGTTGCACCTACAGGACCGAGTACGGCACCTTAGTAGACCAGTAGCATCTACTTTGGCCAACAAGGAGCGCATGATTGTAACGGACTACATCAAGGACGTAGTCTGTACCTTCTCCTATGGAGGAGGAGAGCTTAACCATAAGATCTCGTTCTTGGTTAGCGACGACCTACCATTTGATATGTTGTTAGGCATGTACTACCTCGAAGTTGCTAAGCCCTAGTTCGAATGGGATAAGAAGGTGCTCAAGCATAAGTTGCCCGATAGCCGAATTGTCAGGTTGACTAAGTTCAAGGCCAACAGTATTGTAGATACCTATGGCTGCTTGTGTGCATCAACATTCTACAATTACTACAAGCAAAACCAAGAGGAGGGTATGTACCTTGTTTATGTCTCTGAGAAGGGGGTGGCCGTTAAAACACCCCAAGAGATAGAACGCGTCGTTGCTAAGTTCCCTGATCTGTTCAGGAGCCCATAGGAGTTGTTGAAAGGGAAGTCGTCCACGCTATAGAAATCATTCCAGGGAGTAAGACCCCAAAGGGAAGGATCTATAGGATGGCCCCCGCAGAGTTAGATGAACTTCGGAAACAGCTTAAGGAGCTGACAGAGAAGGGTTGGATTCGGCCTAGTACTTCCCCTTACGGATCACCCGTTCTGTTCGTACCTAAGAAGGGGGGTATCTTGAGGATGTGCATTGATTATAGAGGCCTCAATGCCATCACTGTGAAAAACGCAGAGCCTCTACCGCGCATAGACGACCTGTTGGATAGGGTGCAGGGATGCAAGTACTATAGCAAGATAGACTTGAAATCCGGATATCCCCAGATCGCAATAAGACCTAAGGACCAACACAAGACAACTTTTCAGACTCGTTATGGTCTGTATGAGTGCCCTTTGGTCTTTGCAATGCGCCGCGTACATTCCAACACGCTACGAATCGGATCTTCCATGACCATTTAGATAAGTTTGTCGTGGTCTACCTAGACAACATTCTCATCTTTAGTAAGTCTGCCGAGGAGCATGCACAACATGTTGAGACGGTACTTTCACTCCTTCGACAGCACAAGTATAAGGTCAACTTAGAGAAGTGTGAATTCGGTCGAACTAAGATACTATACTTGGGTCATGAAGTATCCGCAAAGGGAATTAGGCCGGAAGATGCGAAGGTGGCTAGTATTCGAGACTGGCCACGACCTCAGACAGTCACTGAGGTCAGGTCATTCTTAGGAATGTGCGGCTACTATARAAACTTCGTTAAGAACTATTCTACAGTCGCCTCTCCTTTGACTGATCTAACTCGACTTGACACACCGTGGGACTGGAGTGATGAGTGCGAGGGTGTTTTCAAGAGAGTGAAGCATGCACTCATAAATCATGAAGTTCTCATGGTTCCCGATCCGCAGAAGCCATTCATAGTGACCATTGACGCAAGCCAATATGGCACTGGCATAGTGCTGGCTCAGCAGAATGGGATAAAGTTGAGACCGATTGAGTACATGAGTAAGAAGATGCCATCGAAGAAGTTGGCTAAGTCCACCTACAAAAGGGAACTCTATGCTCTTTACAAGGCACTTGTCCATTGGAGACACTTCCTATTAGGAAGGTTCTTCTACTTGAGGACTGATCATCAGACCCTCAAATGGATCAAGACTCAACCGGCTCTTTCTGATGCACTCAAGCGATGGATTGAGGTCATAGATCAATATGACTTCAAGCTTGAGTACCTGAAGGGAGAGTACAACAAGGTTGCAGATGCGCTATCACGAAGAAAAGACTACCTAGGTGCGCTAGTTTCTGACTTTGGCGTATCTAACGAAGTAACTCAATCATTGGTGGGAGCCTATCAGGAAGACCCTGTCACGATGGACATCATGCGCAAACTTCAGGCGAAAGACAAGGCCACAAAAAGTGAGTTTGTGATGGTGGACGGGTTAATCTATCTTGAGAAGGCGGGAATAAAAAGGTTGGTAGTTCCATCTAGTGAGAGTTTGCGTAGTTTGTTCTTAGGAGAATGTCATGACACAACTGGACACTTTGGCTACAAAAAGACGAGTGCTAACCTAGTACAGCGATTTTGGTGGCCTGGTATGCTTGATAACGCAAAGAAGTACGTAGAGACCTGTCAGATCTGTCAGCGGGACAAGCCGCGCACTCAAGCACCGCTTGGGTTTCTGAAGCCTTTACCTATCCTCGCTGGTCCAGGACTGAGTGTATCCATGGATTTCATGGACACCTTAGTGACCAGCAAGAGCGGCAAGAGATACATATTTGTCATCATAGATCGATTCTCCAAATACACTAGACTAGTGGTCATGCCAGAGACAGTCAGGACTGACTATGTCATCAAGCTGTTCAAGGACAACAGGGTGAGGGACTTTGGTTTACCAAAGACTATCATCAGTGACAAAGATGTCCGTTTCACCAGTAAGCTGTGGAAAAAGACTGCAGAACAAATGGGCAGTCAACTTCAAATGACTTCAGGAAACCATCCTGAAGCCAACAGACAGGCCGAGCAAATCAACAGAGTTGTGCAGCACTTGCTGAGGCACTACATCAAGCCCAGCCAGGATGACTAGGATGAGCAATTGCCTCTCATCGCCAGCCTGTACAACAATGTTGTACACAGCAGCACCGGCGTGAGTCCTAATCAGCTACACTTGGGATGGAAGCCTAGATCAGCACTAGACTTCCTCCTGCCTGAAAACCGAACCGCCGCAACTCCAGGCACACTCGAGTACGGTGTGCAGTATGAGAAGTTGCTGCAGAATGTTGTCGAACACATGAAGAAAGCTCAACAAGCAATGATTGCTTCTGAGAATCAACATCGTCGACAATCCACATTTCAGGTAGGGGAACGTGTTTGGGTCAAGGCTAGCGAGCTAGGACAAGAGTTCGGAATCTCTCGCAAACTAATGCCCCAATACTTTGGTCCCTCGGAAGTCCTAGATATAGTGGGCGATGAGATGGATGGTCCCACTTATGTCATTCTTATCCCTGGACACCTACGCACTCACCCAGTCTTTCATGCCTCAAAGCTTGCACCTTTCGCTGAGACTGATCAATTCCCTTCCAGGAGATCGATGCTGCCCCCAACCATGGATGGACAAGTCGACATCGATGACATTGTGGATCACCGGGACGTGCCTGTTGCAAAGTCGTTGGGTCGGGGAAGACCTCCTAAACCCAAGAGGGAGTATCGCGTCAGATTCAGGCATCATACGGATCCAAAAGAAGATCGGTGGTTTACCCGGGAGGAACCGATGGAAACAGCTCCTCAAGTGGTGGCAGATTATGAAAAGTAGCTAAAAGGGAAGGCACCTGCGAAGTAAGCATCTCAGCGGACTTTCGAAGCTAAGGGGGATGGAATGTGAGGAATGAGCCCTCAAGTAGGAGCCTTGCCATGATGTACATGTTCTGGGCTAAGGCCCCAGCAAGACTCGTGCCCGCCCTAAGTGAAGGCGGGCCAGCAAATCAACAAGAACCCTCTGTGCCAACATTTCACGAAGTGGGGTCCGTACAGTTGCAGCACGCCAGTTGGTTGGAGTGCACCGAGTCTCCGAATTCAGCAAATGCTGAAAACCCAGGGCCTCTGAGTTAGTTAGGCCCTGGGCACTTGAACGTGAGGCCGACAATGCATGCTGGGAAGAGAGGCCGAAAATGCCAAAGGGAAATCGGCCACTATCTGAATCTGGCCGCAGGCCTTGATGAAAGAGGCACAACTGCATTGCCCCAGCCCTCAACTGTATCGGGCTGCATTCAGCCACTGGGGCCGAGAGGCAGGCTGAAGGGAGGCCGCCCACACGCAGCACTGGCATATAGGCAAGCAGGGCGAGTGGGCAGGCACCTTGGCCATTGCGAGCAAGGCCGACACGCTGCAGCGTTGCATGCATGCTGCACTGCGCTAAGGCTGAGTGGGCAGGACAGCGCTAGGCGATAGGGCACTGCCTGTGAGCGCAGGGCGCTGGCGGCCATAGCCGGGCTGCCTGTGTGCGCAAAAGGGTGAAGGGCGAAGGTGGTACTTCGGAGGTGAAGGGCGCTGTGTGGGTACAAGGGAGAGTGTGGGTGAAGAGGACACGTACCTGCTGGAGGTGGAGGTTGGCATTGGTGTTGACATCATCACTCGCTGGTAGTCAAGTTGTCTGGTTGCTTTCATAACTGTAGTTGTAGGATAGGCTGTAGAGTAGATAGGGCGCCTGGCGCCATTCACAAGAGAGAGCTACATTTGGGTGACTCACGATTCTTCTGTATCATTTTCAATTGGATGGTTTTTTGGTTCCATTGTGCTATCTGCTTTGGCTTTGACTACTTGGACTTCAGTGTGATTTTGCATTCTGGATTTATGTGCTTCGTCCATATTCATCTTCCTTGCATTTTTAAAAAAAGGGGATTATTCGGTCTAGGCTTAGGATAGAAGCATTGGTAACATAAGCAAGGCTATCGAGGGCCATGTGAGGATACAGCCTGTGACGTTTCCAATCTGACGGCAACCGCATCGAGTTTCTCGACAGATACACTTGATATCATCGGGTAATGGGCTTCTCAGTAGAACCTGGAAATAGGCAAAGAAAGTTTTTTTTTTTTTTTTTCGGGGCGTATTAGT